GAAGAGTGGAAGGAATTTGTAGTGTGTGCAGTAGCAAAACTTTAAGAAGAGAAAAAAGAAGGTAAGTAAACACCAGTATAGAATAACAATAATTCTTAYAAGTTGAAATGTGTTGAGGTAACTTTGTAAGTCAAGGGAAAAAAGGAACATGAAGATCTTCACATTTGGATAGTTAAGCAACAGAGACTTAGAGGTTGTTCTTTCTTAGAAGCAGATAAAGATTTTGCTTTGGATCTCATAGCAAAGAAGAACAGTTCATAATATCATATCAGTACCTCATAATCCAAGCTAACTTGTTTCTAAGACAAAGGAACTGGTGATACAGACACTGAAATGTTTACATGGAATGGCATTTTCAAAATCCAAGCATCAGAAGCATTCAGCTCTCATTAGAACAAGATTTTTTTAAAGATTCCTTTCAGAAATCTCCTTCAGCTCCTTGAAACTGCACACACAGAAACCATGATGCCRTCCTCTGACAACCTCACAGATTACACTAAGCCAATTAAATCAAACAAACCCCATGGTTTATGGAACAGATGCTAAAACCTTTTACTCCAAAAACAAATTGTCTTGAATCTTATTATTAGAAAGGCTTCCATCCTGAAGAGGTGACACWGTTATAAATAATATAGTTTACTGGAAAAAAAAACATAAGGCTGACTCACCTTGCCCTCAAGTGCTTCAGAAATTACTACATTTTTCATTTTACCTGAACTTTTAACCACATAGACCCTATCATTAGTTGGATCTTGGGATCTATGCTACCAAAACTTTCAGCTGCAAAAACTTTTATGTAATCAATTAATAATCAGTCTTTAGGTTGCATCACTTTTCATAGTGAAGTGGAGACTTGAGATATAAATTCTGGCAGTTTTTCAGTGAAATCTTAACACTGGTGAAACTGTTCTGACCACATTAGGAATAGATTAAGATGATTGTAGTTATCTTAAATAAAGTGGGAGTAGAGAAATRTGTGCAATGATAAGATACTTAAATGGTTCTGAAAATTCAGTCGTAATTTTCAATCTTTGTTGTCATGGAAAACTTGCAGCTTTAACATGAGAAATGGGAAGTGAAGTCCCTTGGAAAGTGAAGGCCACGGATGGTGTCCACAGGATAAGTAAAAGTCACACCCAAGTTGCTCTTGCCATTGAAGTGTCAGTCACAGGATTGTCCCTGGACTTGTCAGAGCTGCCCTGCCAGCAGGCTACAAAAGAGTACAATCCATCCTTCAAGGGGACAGTCAGAATAAACCCTCCAGGCAAAATTAGCCTTTCTGCGCTCAGAAACTGTCTGGGTTTTTTTCTTTTTTTTTTGTTTTGTGTTTAGGTTTTTTCCTGTTTGGATTTCTTTTCTTTTGTGGGATGGTTTGTTTGGTTGGTTTTTTCCCTATTAAATCTTCTTGCTATTGTGTTATAGTTTTGTCTCTGGGATGTGCATGGAATAGGCAATTGACACCTGCAGTGCAGGAAAAATCTCCTGATATTTGGATTTTTAATTTCCGGTTGAGGAATGATCCTGCATTCCAGTTCTGCTCATCTGATGCAGTATTATTTTCCGTGGCTTGTATTACAGGATAAAGGAAATTTTCAAGTGGTTTGACAGATGTTATCCTTACTTCTATGCCAAATTTGCTCTGTTTTTGGTTTGATGGCRTTTTTTTGGTGCTGCTGTATTTTAATGTAAAACATTGCTTCGCCACTTGACATAACATATATTCTTTTMCCGTGGTTCTTTCCTGCTAAAATGGATGTGATACAGTGGAAATCTCTCACTGTGCAGGTTTGAAGGAGGCATTTCCTATTTCCCTGGCATCAGCCATAAGGTTTATCTGAACAGGGAAGATGGGGTAACCTGCAGCCAGCTTCCAGGAGGACAGAGTGGGGCAGCCCAGGGTCTGACCTGGCTGATGTTGCGCTGCCCCATCCAGGAGTGGCACAGAGCCCTCATTCCCAGCCCCACGCTGCACACCAAGCATGGGAAGCMCGGCAGCTCCTCAGCAGAGCAGTCCTATTGTGCTTTCTGTCAGCACCCCTGACAATTTCCTGTGCCGATCAGATATTCAATCAGTTAGAAGCACAACTTTTTAAATCCCTAAGTAATTTGTTCACACAGCATCAGGTTTCTGAGAGAGCCCTTCCCCACTCAGCAAGAATTAATGCACAGGAAGTACAGAAACACTGAATGAAGCAGGGGACTGCTGTCGAGCTATAAAGTATGGCGGTTCTCATCCAAGCTAAATCAGCCTCACTGTGGAAAACATTCTTAACTGGGCACTTGAACACACATTAAAGCACATCCCATGAGCTGTTTTTAACACAGAAGAGAAAACAGATACTAAAAAAATACAGCATAATTTGACAGTATACTGATACTTAAAAATTGCTTCAGTGGAAAGATTATGTTGAAAATTCTAGCATGTGGAAGCCCAAAGCTGTTTGCAGTTATGCTGTCCCATTGTGCTGTACCAAAAATGCTCTGGTTCTTGACRTATCAGAGGTATCAACATCTTATAGGAAAAAATCAAAGCTAAACAAAACCGTTCTGAAATAGGGCAAAATATTGGTGAGTTTTATGATTTTCTTACCTTTAGAATGGATTATTTTCCCAAAACTGCCTGAAGAACAGAAATTCTACATTGTGATTAGAAGATGGAAAAATCAAGGTTTCATCTAGGAGATGCTCCAATCAGAAGTGCGGCAACTGGAATAACAACTCTAAGAATTAAGTCCTACATATCCTTGAACTACAATGGAAACAGGAAGGTAAGAAAAATTCTTACAAGGTCAAAGTTTGATTTTGACTTTAGGAGAGTTGAATCAAGATTTACTTCAAAAGATGGGCCCTATCTGAAACAAAATCAAGTCAGTAAATAGCAAGCAGATATTGTTAGGGAAGGTTGCACAGAGGATAGAAATGAGTTCAGCTAACAGAAGATGGTGTGGCCACAAAAATTATTCAAAAAACAAAGAGGCATGAGACTTTCAAAGGAGTTAATGTGTATCTAGATTTACCAGAAGGTGAAAGAAGTAAGCACTTCGTAAGTTATTTTGTTTSCATCAGCTGTTATTGCAGAGGACTTTGAGGTATATTTACTCCAAGTCTTTTCAAGTAATAAATACTAATAAAGATAAAAAGAATCTAGGTATTAACACAGTGTAAGAAATGAAAGATTAGAGAGGTTAAAATAAATGAAATGAAAAGCACCAGGTGCTTGGAAGAAGACCTGAGCTGCTAAGAGAATAAAATTCTCTGTTTAAAATTGTTTGCTACACTGAAGGCCTTGGGAATAACAAATCATTTTCCCTATCCTTTAAGGAGTCACTAGGGAAATTCAGAGAGCAGTAAACCTTTTTTTTCTGTACCCAACTAACATCTGTAGGCATAAAATCTTTGTAATTCAAAACAAAAAGAAATCTTCATAAAATGAGTTTCTTGCCTCTAATGGGGAAGGATTGTCTGAATATGTAAAGGAATTATGGGAGTCAGTTGATATCAGATATTCAGAATCATAGGGTTCCTCTTCACAAAATGTAATACAAAGTTTGTGGGTGATTTGCTTAGCTCATACTAAAGACTGCAAGTAAAAGCACTCCTGTCTGAGTCCAATGTTTCTGTCATAACAAAAGGCAGTGAAATGGATGGCAGGTTATCCATAGAGGAACTTCACTTATGTTCATATAAGATATGTGCATGCTGCAGATAAAGTAGTGAAGTCACTTCGTTATATTCGAATTAATTCTTTTCATCCCTAATGTAGCATTAGACATAGCAAAATATGTCAGTTGAGATGCTACATTGGATGGGCTCTCTTGGGCTAAAAGACTGATGTTCTTCGTTAGTCTCACCACAGAACAATTTACATTAGCAGACAGCCTGTTTATATTGATAATGCTGTGTAAAAWACAGTGCTGACAATTTCAACTGCCTTTATTAGTCTGAACACACAGAGCTGAATTTTTAAATGACTGTTCAACAGAACATTCTCTTCCATTTCTAGAGCATACTAATTTCTTATTATTGTGCAGAATTTAGAAATGAACATAAATGAGATCTGTATAATTCCATAGTTGCAATGGAAAAATGAATTAAAATTAGATATTGCTGTAGTGTAGCAATTGCACTGCCTTACAAACTGATGAGTAAATTCTGGAATATGCTATGTTACTAGATTGAGAAAGACTGTGACTAGAATAAAACATGCATTTAATTCTTATTTTTTAAATTAATTTTTTGTCAGACTTGCTATCGGAATTGGTTCATGCATCTTCATAATGTTCTGAGTTCGCTGCATTCAAAGGCAAGTCAATTTTTAATTTTAAATTGTGCTTAAGACATCCCTTAGCATGTCCTTTTGTCATTCTTTCAGCAGATCTGAATTAAGCTTGCTTCGCTGCATGTCTTTTGGTGAATCATAAGGCACATAATCTACATCCTGTATTGCATTAGCAAAATAAAATGTTTTCCTTTCTTCCTCTTGCCACTATCTGCCTTTATGACACTTGCTGGACATCCTACAGCAAGGGCTGATGCCGATCTAATTCCCCCTTTGGAATGGCTGTCCCAGGATGGAATTTTGGGGCCACAGACACAAAGGCACCCCCAGGGCTCTSTGAGTCAGGATGGCCAAGCTCAGCTGAGGAGAGAACTGGCAGAGAGCAGCGACACAAAGATTCATGGTGCATGGGCTCCTGAGCTTGTGTTTGTAGAATATGAGACATTCTTTTGGCTCCCAGATGTGTTGAGGCACTCCTTGGACTCTGGAAGTTATTGAATGCAGTTSTGAGAAATAACCACAGTGTTGCTTCTGTGCCATAATTCAATACAAATGGTTTTCCCAAGGCTGCCAGATCATGAAAATTTGTAAAATTTCAAGAAATTACTAGTGTCAGAATAGCACTGGAGGTAATAATTAAACAACTGCAGTTCCAGACTTCTAACTACACTCAAGTAAACCAAGAACAAAATGAAAAATCACACAACATAATTAATTTGAAGAACTTTATCCAAAACCACGATTTCCATCTGATACTAACAAAACTTGTCATTTTCACCATAGTAAAGGAGTGAACCAGTACTAAGTACACACAYAGTGAACACAGTCAGTAACTGGAAAAGAACATAACAGGAGTTTAAAAAGAATACATTTCTCTTAATTAAACTTGATAATTACAACAAACRTGGAGAAAGCAGAGGGCATTTTTAAAGTTTTCTCTTTACAGATAGAGCTCCACAATCCCAGAACAATGATTACAACAGTAAAGGTTTTTTCTAGAAACCAAACCATATATTACAAAAACAATACAGAGAATCCCTGCAAACTTGACAATGTACAAAACAGGGTAGCAGAAAGAAAGCACAAGAGAATTAAATTGTCTTGGATTTTTAAGAAAAAGCAACAGGCCATAATAAAAGGTTCCTGTAAAGCTGCTTTACACAAACTGAAGAATGTAATTTCCATGGCTGTGATTTTGTACGAAGCACAGTTGCTTTCAAAAGTCACTATTTAGCTTATATTTGGGGGAAACACCCCAAATAATTAGGCAGTATTTGAGATAACTGAAAAACATACATAATAGGCTATCTCACAAAGCTAACTACCAGATTTATKTACATAAGCTTCCCATTTCACTGAGACTGTACTCTACTCCTTCTAAACTTCCCAACTTCTGAACTGGAAGAGGATTTAGAGAAAGAACAAATATTTCTCAGTATAGGTACTCATACTGTAGGAAAAAATAGTGCACTGGTTTGCTACATTATATACCSTTCCAGCATATCTATCAAAATATTCAGACTCATTTTTATTACCTTCTCATTTAAAAAAATACAGCATTCTGCTTTCTTTCTTGCTTTTGATTAGGAAATTACAGATCTCTACATTTAAAATAAAACCCCAGCAACCCGCAGCTAGTCCTGCAAACTGATCCACCGAAGCAGATGTCAGAAGTAGAGAAGAAGTGTTATTAATCCAATTGACTCCAGGTGGAGGCAAAGGTCCCTCTGGATAGAGCAGCGTGCAGGMTCAGGAACTTCAGTCATCCTTAGGAAGGCAGCAGCTGAAAGGACTTTTAGGTCTAGACCTGAAACAGTTCAACCTTATTTGTTCATTTGTGGGAGTGAACTCCTCAGGAAATGTGTTATCACTGTAATGGCTGCAGCTCAGAAGCTCCCAGAACACAAGGCTGCATACTTCCCTTGGTTCTGGCAAAAAAATGCACTTTCTTTTGGTCACAATGAGATCCAGAATTGCCCAGTCTGGCAACAACAGCTGGGCTGTGCATCCACGAACTGCAGGTGTGGCTAGATTTGAAATGGATTAGCACATTGTGGCTCTTTTTCTATACTGAACAGGGCTGCTCTTTAACAACCCTGACCCTACAATACACCACATGAGCTTTATTATTCTCCTTAGGGTCCACTCCCACTTCCCTCACCTTACCCCAAGAGCATTACCACTGACTCTGATCTGCTTAAAAACAAATCAAACTACTTAGGGTTGGGAGAAGCTCAGTAAATGCTGGCTGCAGAACAGTGCAGTGTATTTACAGAATCTGAATTTCTGAAAGGTAACTTTGCATTGTATGGATACTGCCAATAGTCACCAAGCCTCATGGACACATCTTGCTCTTCTGCTTCTGGGAAGCACTCTGTGGTTTGCTAAGGCAGATAATGATTAAGATTTTCTCTCAAGAAGAGACCTCGTGTCACTGTTCTATGCCCTCACTCTGGAATGTCCTTACTGATCACTGATCTTACTCTCTGAGGTCAGTCAAGGAGCTGATGAAAATGGGCTGAAGGACACTGCTGGCTTCCAATGCTCACATGCAGGAGTGAAAGGATACCAGGAAATGAAATGACAGAGAAGACAAGGTGAGAAATAAAATGAAGGCATAGAGACAACAGTAATGGTGACAATGAGTTCAAAAAGATGGATGTGAGTTCACATCAGGGTACTTTGGGGAGGAATGAAGAATAATACAGACTAAAGGATCGGGCAGTGACTTTGGAGACATTCTGTGATTCTTTAGCCTGTTTCTGTTCTCATCATCTTTAAAGTCTGGATAGTTAAGATCTCCTTTGAGACCTACTGGCAAAAAGCTGAAGAATAAATTGAGGCAATGCTACTGTACAGATCATACTTGACTTGTTAGCATTCCATGCTCAAGAAACCTGGGTGGCTTTTGCAGGAAGACTAGGCAGGGCTTTTGGAGGTAAATCTTATAGTCTACTAGTCTTCCTGTAGTCTACCAACACAGGAAGCTTTCCGAGCATTTTCTACAACTGAAAAATAGCTCCATCAGTAGCCTGTGCAGGAAAGACAGAAGGGGTGACACAATGCTCCCAAGACTTCCCAAAGAGAAAGATGCTATTGGCGCTCAGGCAAAGGGCACTTGCCTTGCTACCAACAGTTCAAATCTGCCTATGTCACTCAGGAAAACACTGCCTTCAGAGACATGTCCTTGAGATGATTGTTACACATTTGCATTATCAGGTTTTCTTTTCCAGTTCCTGATTGTGTTGCTGTAATTTCCAAAACAGGTTACTGCAAAAGCAGATCTGGTCATGTTGTTTAGGTGTAAATGCTCTGGGACAGGCCAGAATAAGATAAAATTTTCATGCATTTTGTTCTGCAAAGGCAAATAATTACTTATGTAGATAAATGGACAATTTCCTTCTTCTTTGTGCCTGAAGGACCACAAACTAAAATGGGACATAGCTCAGTCACAGCTATTAGGAGTTCCCCACATGACCAGAGAAGAGCACAGAGGTGACTTCATTTTCCCCGTTTTAAGTGGGACAGACAAGGTAAAAGGCAAAGATGGGCTGCATGAGGAAACACAAAAGTAATGTCAGATTAAGGACAGTAGGAGACTTTCAGGCTCAGGATGCCTCGACTGCTTTAGGATGTTCCCAGACCAGGGGCAAAGGGCTACCTGCTCATTAAACCAGCCCTATTTTGACCTTACGGTGACAAAACAATGACCCAGTAACAATAGACCTAACAGAATATTCATCTCTGGCTTTTCCTCTGTGAACAAAACAAATGTCCTTGTTTCCTTGAGGATAAGAAGGCTGTGAGTTGAGGAGGGATGTGCTCTACCTGGTTTAGCTCATTCACACTCAGCTCTGGCTGAGTGTCCAGGAAGCCAGCGGGGCTCAGAGGACRCAGCAGCAGTTAATGAACTGCTCAGCTCCGCCTGTCAGAACCCTCATGTCTGACATTATCATTGGGGACCTCACTGCCCTTTTCCTTTCTGCACATTAACCAGATGAAATCCAAWTCTCCACAGCTCCGAATGTTCCAAAAGCACAGAGGCATTTTGATCTGGTATTCTGATCTTTAGTCTATTTATCTCAAATGGAAATCACCCTTAAAAAGAGCAATTTTCCAGATTCTACTCTGTGATTAGCCACAGGAAACTCAGTTGAATTACACTGGATAAATGGACAGTGCTACATGAAATTAATAACTCTCAGCGGCCTGCAGAGAAATGTGGAGAGGATATTAACTGGAATAATAGACAAAATACATAACAACCTCCAGACTAAGGGCTCCTGCTTTCATTTGGTCCCAGGAAAAAGGGTGTATTTTTTTCCCCTTATCTTCAAATGGGGGTACAGGATAAGATTATAATGGCTGGCTGCTTCTTTCTCGATTTGGGGCTGAGCTATTACAGGCTACTCAGCAGCTGAGTGGGATGCTGACTGCCCTCAAGTCCCATTGCAAGTGAAGATTTTGGAGCAGGGATCTCATTACTTCTGAGATACCTATAATCTCCTCCGCCCACTAAAAGGATAAATAACATTATTTACAACAGACAAAGTCTCTGCTACTGTTGCATCAGTCAGCTTTTCAGTTTTGCAAGTGTCAGGACACAGAAATTCAGGGTGTTAACGCTGTGGGAAAGCACAGACTCCTACCAGCAGATAAAAATACAACAGGAATAGTTGGGTGGGATTGCCCATTCAGTTCTCCTTTCTAATGTGCCATTGCACCCACCTGAATAATTGTTCAGCCTTTAGTCTCTCAGCTGTGGTGGCTGCACAGCTGCTGTATCGAGCTGCTGTCTGCATTAAGAAAAAACATTCTTTAGAGGGAGTTTGAATTTGGTAGATCCCTGGAGGCCATAGCTGAAAGAGAAYCATTGGGCACCCCAGCTTGTCTTCCTGCTTCCCATGGCTCAATAACTTTGCAGGACCAAGTTGCTTCTTGAGTTTGTACAATGGAGAGCCAGAGGTAAAACACAGCATTTAGAAAGTGGCTTGCTTTGTCTACCACAGAACAAACTCCAATCAGGATTTTCTGTTATCTGTGCTAGACATTTTTAATTGAAACACAGATCTTCTACAAGTGGAATCCTTCTCTCAGGCTGATACTCAAAGTGCTCAGCAAAGCACAGAGCCCTTCTCTTTAACAGTAAACAGAAAGCAGCTCTGGGGAAAGTGTTTGGAGTTCCTCATCACTCCTCAGTGAGTGACAGCAATTATCCAGCTGCCTGACTCCAAGGAAAGGAGAAGCTACAGTGCTCCAAGTTGAGCTGTGTTGACAGCTCAGGGTGTAACACAAACCTACACAACAAAGAGCTAACATTTCACAGGACCATACCTGTGAAACATCCACCATTCAGCCAYTTCTCCATTCCCCTCTGTGGCTTCTCTGAATTGAATGATTGGTGAGTCCACTTTTGCAATGGTTCAATTTAAACCTTCCCTAACCTCCCAGAAGAGAGAAGTGGTTGTAGTGGATAAAGCCATTACACAACATCCAGAAGCACAGTGTGAATATTGTCACTGTCAAAGCAGATAAGAGCTCAACCCAGTTCTGGCCACTGCGATTTAGGGATCTTCAGTATACCTGACAACACTCCCCACAGACCCTCACACGCAGTATCCTTGTACCTGCATCCTAAAACTAACTTTTTCCCCTGACAGAGAAGCTGTACTGTTAGTGTGCAGTTTAACTGTGAGCAGGAAATGCCTGCACTTGCTGCTTGCCGTGTCACCCTGTCAAGCCAATTACTTAAATTAAAGTTTTGTCTGGCCCTTCCTGACAACTCAGCCTCTAACGATGAAACTATGCATGATGATGATCTGGATGCAGGAGGTGGAACTCATTGTTTTCCAACACTCCTGCTATTACTATCAATTTCACATGAAGGTAGGGCATTTTCTTTGGGAAAAGCAACACRAAAGTGGCACTCGGTTTCATTAGCAGAATAGTGGTTCTTCGCTGTTCGCACTCTGATGCTTTTCTTCATGGTTGAAGAGTTTAGTCCAGTGCTCTGGGAGAGATGCAAACATTGCTAATTGCACTAAGATTAATATTCTAGGAAATTTAAAYAAAGCAGTCCACTGGCAAATTCACTAGGCAGCAGAAAAATCCCATTGGGCAAGTACCATCGTGTCAAACTGGTTTTAGTCATGGTGGAAATGTTTTGCTCTTTATGCAAAAATGCCTGCAGGAACTGGCCTAACTAGAGAGCCTAGAGGAAAAATGAAGAAAAGTCCATGAGTAACTGATACAATTACAAAGGCAACAGAATATCAGAAAATGGCTGGGGACAGCACATTACACTGAGCAAWATTTTAATGGGTCCTACATATTTACACACCAGAGCCTCCAGTTCTGGTGTGGAAACTACTCAATTCTGCTTTGGAAACTTCTGTGCAGCTTCCCAACAGCTTGCTYTCTGCTTGGCAAGAATAAGGAGGGGTGTGAAAACAGACAAGGTACACCATTTATGCAGTTCCCCTGCTTTTCATTGTCTTCTGGCTATGAAGAAATTAATAGCTATTTTAGGAAATTAAAATCATAATTTTTCTATCATTCTTAAGACTACAGATATTTCATTCGACAGAATTTGCTTTMTTTCCCTCTGACCTCCAAGAGCTGKACTTCTCAAACTTTTCCCCAGTATATGTCTYGTCTGTCTTCAACCATCTTTACAAAATCCTGCCTCCAATCAGGGAAATAACAACACACAGAGAAGCTCATCATTGTTTTTCTCAGCATCAAAATAATCTAATTTCTTCTCTCCCCACTGCTAGATCTGTTTGCATCTTTCCTAGCTTTAAAGGACAGTTCATAGAGAGGGAAAAAATATACACAGTGACTACTGAGTGGTTATAAATACTGATTTGGGGCATGCTGCTTTGATTCAAGTAACCRTCCACCAGCCCTGCAGGAAAATGGGTTTAAAGAGAAAAGAGGAAAATCCAAACCTCTCTACACACTCAGCAGCTCTTAGCCCAGCCTCAAGCTCAGTGGCAGGCAAGTGTCAAAAATAGTCTCTGTGCCTGCAGACAAGGCTCTCTGGAATTAGGGTAGTAGTTATATCAGACAGAAAGCCTAGACAGTATATGCAGACACAAAGAAGAATTTGTCTGCTACTCTCAAAGTGCAGACATTTTATATATTTATGTTTAATATTTAAGGGGGAAGAGGGAGATTTCCAATAGCAGCGGTTTTTTTTCTTTTCTCAAGATTTTATAATCTCTCAAGCAAGGAAGGCTACAGCTTGTGTTGGAAAGATACAGCTTTTGAAAATGAACTGCCCATGGAATGCAGGAAAAATGTTGCCTCTCAATGGAACAAATCCAGAAGATAATCAGAGCTGTTACCTAAAGCCAGCTACATAAAAATCTCTTGCAGGACCCTTACCAGAACCCAGAGATATATTAATACTGAAATATAAGCACTTGCATATCTGCCACTTAKTACTTGTCTTGTGGTGTTTCTACCCCAGGACATACCTGACTCTTTAATTCACCCCCTCATGAGCACAGAAATGCCCAACTTTTCTTTCAATTTTGTTTTTCTCATAGACATAATTCACTATTAATTGTGAATATAATAATTCATTATTAATTAGGCTTGACAATTTTCCCATCATTCTTTCAGTACACCGATAACCTCATGGAAGTTCATGCTGTAAGAAATTATTATCATTACAGCTGCTGWAAGAAATCTGGATTACAGTCAAATGAGATGAAAAGCATGGTATTAGGCTTTGTTTCCTGGAAAGGATGCATATACAAAACACCTCCAGACAGAAAYGGGAACTTGTGCTGCTGCTCTGTTTATCATTTCCTCCTCTGAAATGCAGAGGGTCTGCAGAGCAGCAGACTGCAGACAGGTTCAGCATCCCTTTATTGATCATCAGCTCCAGTAACTGATACTGGAAAGCAACAGACAGTAACAGACAGCCTGCACCTGCCTGCCATGGCTCTGAGAGCCAGGATTTTGAACACAGCCCAGGAGTCTACGGCCATGCTCAAGACTCACACACGATGAACCCGGACTTCCTCAGAACTGAGCCAATGCCAACCACTTGGTCCATCTAGGAAACTCAGATGTCCAGAAAACACAACCTGCAACAATTCCATACAACATTATACAACAGTAAAAAATGCACCAAAAAGAAAAAAAAAAAAAGCTGACAAACTGCAGAAGAGCTGCTAGAAAAATCCACAGTAGAAAATAAGCACTTTCTATATAAATATCTCTCTGTATTTACTATGCCCAAGTTGATCGCTCTTTTATTACATTTCTATACAAAACTGGTATTGGCTCTGTTCTCAAATACAGCTCTCACTTCCACACAATTTGCATCCAAACTTTCTGCCATCAAGACTCAAGATGATTAACTTGCATTTCACTTCCACAACGGTGGCAGCACTTAATCAATGAAGTCTGTACCTATAAGTATTTATATAGATATACATGTATATATACACACATACATACATACACATGACAAGTACTGTTGAAGTTTTCTTTTCTTCCAGTGTTTGTAGTGACAGTCATCCTAGAAGGTGAAGGCATACACCACTCCCACAACCACAATATTTCCAATTGTTGCTATGATTGCAATCCATAATAATATGGCATCATTTGAAGAACGGGATGTCTCTTCTGGTGGATTCTGCATGGAAGAAGCTGCATGGACATTGGCTGATGAGTTAAACAGGGAGTATTCTGTACTAAAGTCCTCGTTGGGTGAGTCCATAAAGGCTCCTCCCATAACAGGAAGCTGTGAAGACAAACATGACAAAATCAGAGTGAAAGCTATTATCGGCTTTTGCATTGTGTCAAAGTCATTATAAAAGATGAACCATTAACTAACTGGCAAAGTTATCGAGATTTTGTGTGTGTGGTGCTAACCTGTCAAGAACATTCCAGACCTGCTACATAATTCTCCCATTTCTGTTAGAATCAATATTACTGCACAAAACCTACATTTAATACATGCAATATACAGAAGAGTTAGCATGCTGGACTCAAGTCAGCCTAAGAAATCATATGTATTTAGTAGAGATACACATACACAAAGTACTCACATACCAGAATGTGAGTTTATAGCAACAGGATTGTTTTGTGACTGCCAGCAATGGTATTATATCAGTGCAAGACATTGCACAAGCCCAGTGAGGATCTGATGGACAGAATTTGTTCTCCTTTTATATATATAACTCAGAAGCTAACTCTTGGTTTATGTAGAGATCATGTAAAAGGTTCTTACTGTAAAACAGGTGGAGTGTACTCAGTGCACTACCTTCACTTGCAAAACACACCACTGCAACAATCCAGGATTTATAAATTGATAAAATGGAAAACTGAATTGGATTTCGAAAGGCTATATCACAATGCAATAAATGGCAATTTTCTAACAGTTCTCCCACATCTCACTTCCCCTACTGGGAAGGACAAAGTTTCTTTGGCGGTCCTAGTGGATTTTTACCAGTACCAGAAAATGTTCTGGGTAAGACAGAAGTTACTCAATACAATATGGAAAAGGATAAAGGAACTGTTTAACCTTGTCCTTTTATATATTCCAACTGCCTTCCCAAATTAATCCCAGATCACAACATGTATTCTTCATGAGTCAAGAACTACTTTACACAGTGGTATAATATCACATCCTTCTGCAAATGAATGCATTCCTCTTTCAGGCAAGAGAAGGATACCTACTGCAGTACAAAGACCATTTACTACTAAAAAAGGCTCACACAAAAGCTTTTTGCTTCCATCCTTGTCCCTTGTATGTTTGGAAATGCAGAGCTGGAAGAGTCTCCCCTGACTCACTGAGTGCAGGCTCCAAGTCTCACAGAAGTATGTGATATTGTTTCAGAAAAAGCTACAGAACACCTGCTTCACATATCTATAAATGCTCAGAACACACATTTCTGAATATTCTGTAATAGAGCACGAGCAGAGTGGGGGTGGTCTCTGCAGTACTCCATAACTAAACTCTATGAGGATTGTAGTAGGTAAGTAGACCAAACTCATGGATTTATTGGATAAAAAAAACCAAACCAAAAAACAAAAAAAAACCAACAACAAACAAAAACCAAACAGAGCCATATGTCTAAATCTCTCTGCCAGTTTGACCACAATGAAAACAGTCCATCATGGCATCAATGATTGGTTTGATATCAAGCAAGGAGCAAAACCTAGGTATCACTGCATCCTACCTACATTCCCCTTTCAGATCTGGTAGGAGTCCACGGCTTCAGGGAAAGCTGAAAAAAAGTCTGGGAATATTGTCCGTAAGAAACACCTTCACTGCAACAMCAGCCAACCTTTCCTCCCTCACAGTGGTTTCCACACTGCAGCTGTCATCCTCCAAGCTTTACACACAATCTCCTCTTTTACACCCTATCAGTAAAGTGCCTTTGGGTTTTGGTATTATTTTTCATCTTTCTCAGCAGGGCCTCTTCTACTCCAACACTACTGCTAAAGTCCCCATGGGCTATGAAGAGCAGAGGAACAAGCCTTGCCTTCATTCAGCCACATCACAGAAGGCTGTGATACCCTCAGCCCTCAACCCTGTCCAGTACTCACTGGGCTGAAAAATCATCCCTTTTAACACCCTGTCCTTCAACTCTCAAATCACATTTTGATTCTCTCAGTAACCTCTCCCTTTGGTACCAAACCACACCTTTCTGGTTGGGTGCAGCTGTGCTTTGTAGGAGGCTGAAATGGGCATTGGCAGAGGATACACCATCTCTCCTCTCCACACTGGCTRTAATCTATACACTACACCAAACAATTTGAGGAGTCTGAGAATGAAGTAATTTTTTTTTGCTTGCTATGCATAACATTTTACAGAGATATAAAAGACAGGCTCTTCTTCAGAGCTGACTGCTGAACAAATTTCATCTGTACTAGAAAATATCATGTCACATTCAAAATTAAACAGAGAATGATGAAAGACCACAGTGGATATGTCATACTACTTAATCCACATTAAAAAAATTATCTTTGATATCAAATATGATTAGACAAAAGCAGTTTACAAGAAACCTAGCAGGAAATTGCAAAAGTAAAGTCTGATGTATCTCCCTGCATCAAAGATTTTTTGCTGGCAGTTTGAACAGAGTGTGCTTTAACAGAGAGCAAAAGCTTCCATTTTGAAAGCCCAGCTTGATGTTTTGAATCCAATTCCACCAGCCTTTTTTTATGGCTTSGTATTTGATAAGGAAAGCATTTCTTTTTATGTAGAGATTGCCATAAAAGGCAATTGTGACTTCAAAYAGAAGTGTATTTATGTAGTGATGATGCCATTTAACAGCTACAGAGACTCTAATTAAAGATCTCTGCAGAAAATGATGGGAATACATTTACCACACCAGCAGCAAAATGCTCARTCAGAGGTGCTTGACTCCTTAGGAAACCATTTCAAGACTATCAGCATTKAGGATGGTCAATTCTGAAAAACCTTTTAATTGAACAATCACCCCAAGTACAGAGGTACACACACATGCATGTGCCCAATAGAGTGGGAGGTTATGAGCACTGTTCTGGTGACCAATACCTGGGTTTTGGGCCACACATTCTGTGCTCTCCGTGAGTTATTCAAAATTACAAGCTTCCACCCTGTTAGTTCCCCTGGTGCTGTCACAAAGGCAGGGAGCATCAGTTTAGCAGCACAGCTACACAGCACACAGTGAATTATGTCAAATCTGAATCTCCTTGTTCTGTCTAAGGCTCAAACAAGCTGTCTGCACCATCTGAGGGGAGCACGTGGGGAAACAGCTCTTATGACTCTCTGAAAGGCTTGAGGTGACCTGATGTAAAGTACTGACATTMAGCACCTGGCACAGGCTCTTTGTGTAAGACTGACTTCCAGTTTCTCTGTTTGTAGGTCAGTAGCACTTCACCACAGATCTGGAAATAAACCTTCCTGCCAATCTGCCATTTGCAGAAACCATCTCTTGTTAAATGTGCATTCCCCACTTGTCACCGCTACAGCGGCCTCACATAAGAGCACAAGGGATGGCCATATGGTGTCCGACAGAAAGTCCATCCCCCTTGTGTGTTATCTCCAACAGTGGCCATAAATAGATGCTCAGGAGAGTAACAGCACAACAGGAGAAACAAGTCTGATACTACCCCTTAATAACTCACAGCCTCTGACTGTTTTCATAAGCTAGATACTATTGCTATGGATTTAATAACTTGCAGAGAATTTTGCTACTGTTAACTTGTCCAGCCTCTATCTGAGCTCCTCTGAAGCTGAGCATCCCTCTCAGTCTGGCCTCTTGGAGCCACTTAACAGTCAGGGTTGCCCAGTGATTAGTCATGTAAATCACCCTTGAGAGATATGCCATCTCTCCACAGGAGAGGGAAGCATGGATGATTAGTATCAATGGCAATCTATTTTTAAGTAGATTAAATTCAGTGAAATTAATCTCATCCTCAATCCTGATGTCTTCGTTCTCCCAAAAGGTACAGTATCTTCCCTCTGCAGCCTCATTTCAGATTMTACATTAAAGGCTGTGAGACCTCCAGACCTGACACTAATGGGAGTTGTGAAGTGCCTGTGATTAACAGCAGGCTAAGGACACAAACCTGCAGTGCTCTCTGCCACTGCTCTGTTTTTCTGCCTGTGCCTCTACAAAGTGAATATATGCCAATTTACATCATCCAAACCCTTCACCCATGTCACTGCCATGCCAGTGACCTGCAGTCTGTTTTAGCCTCGCAGGGTATTTATAGCTTGGCAAAGCTGCCACCGTCCCCAAGAGCACTGGGCGAGGGGGCCAAGGCAAAGGGTTAACTGGGAAACACGACAGTGAGGGACACGACAGGAGCAGATGGCGAGGGGGAATGCTGTAGCACACTGTTTGGAAATGAAACTCCTTTCCCAGTGACTGTGTCGGCATTGTTAAGTGGCACTATTAGCACAATTGCTAAATGGCTTCTGGGGCTGGCAAGGAAAGAATTGAAATCATTAAATAGCAACAGGCAGATAACCAAACAGCAAAATGTCAAGTGGTAATGAGAACACCCACTGCGCCGAGTACCTCCCACTGGCACGCTCTGGGGTCAAGAGGAGAACCAGGCTCTTGAACAGTTCTGTGATATACTTTCTAGTCAGCAGAAAAATCCTATTTCATAACCAAAGTGATTCACAGGAATGAAAAACAGCATGCCACGTACCAGTCACATTCGGTAAGTGTGACAGCATTGTCAAGTAGGCATCACATAAAATCCATCCCTTAGAAATAACATTGCTCCCTTTCTTTGAGAATCAGGTGTCTGAYATTTTTTCATAGTCAGCAAGAGAATTGTGATATTCAGCTGCGGCCACCTTATGGGGAACCAAGGTTTGGCACAGATATTTGAAAGCCTAGCTACAGTCTTCTAGTAAGACTCTTCTTTAGCAGCTCTGCTGTATCTTTGCCCTGGTCTCACCAAGCATCACTCTAGGAATAGGATGCTGAGAGGTGAAATGCCACCACAGCTCATGTGTTGTTTTGTAACACCCATGTTGTTACTTCAGAATATCTAACTTTCCAGTGCTTCATTTTTGTTATATTTTAGATATAATATTTTTACATATGGTATAATTTGAACATAGCAAGTGAAATTATTATTTCCTTCTGCCCTGGCAGCATGTAATCACTGCAGTGCATATTTGTGTCTGAAAACATTCCACCTGCAGTCACAAATTAATCTAACACAGCTGCCAAAGACAGTAGCAATATATGGGTTCCATCAAAACAACATCTTAATTCTTAAACTCTTTCTAAATATTTTTTTTTTACTGAAGGGATATCCCACATGACCAGGATTCTCCCC